AAACATTATGTGTTATATGGCAGTGTTTACCAATCTGGAATTCATGCCTGAAGTTTAGTATTTCAGCGTATTCTATAGTATATTTAATTCCATTTTTACTTACGTTAGTAGATGCACAAGTAATTTTTCATCAAAATAAAAAAGAGAAAAATATATAATATCTTATCTGTGTGACTGTATATATATTATATGAGAGAGAGAAGAGAGAGAGAGGAGAGAGAGAGAGAGAGAGAGCGAGAGAGAAAGAGAGGAGAAGAGAGAGAGAGAGACGAGAGAGAGAGAGAGAGAGAGAGAGAGAGAGAGAGAGAGAGAGAGAGAAGAGAGAGGACGAGAGAAGAGAGAGAGAGAGAGAAGAGAGAGAGAGAAGAGGATTGATAATCAACAATTAGTTCACCATGAATAATCGTAGTTATAAATCACCATTTTAACTTTCTGACATTTTTTTTTTTCTCTTTCACCATAAATGATTGTTAGACAGTAAACCCATTTCTCATGGCTAATACTACTTAGTCTTTTCACCATCTTTCACTCTTAATTATCGTTATTAAACATTTATTAATTACTGTTTAATCGTTTCATCCTATTTCACCATTAATTATCGTTATTAAACCCTTTTCTCGAGGTTAATACTTTTTAAAAATCTTTTCAACATCATTTCAACTATCATTTTATTTGCATCTGCAATGTCTAACATTTACTAACCTTTCACTATCTAAGTCTAACTTGTCAACCATCACTGTTGAAGTTGTCACCATCATTGTTTAGATTATCACTTTTCACCATACTTCACCTAAGCTTTTCACACTATCATTATCAACATTTATCATCATATCTAAGTTTTCACAATCATATCTAACTTTTCACCTTTTCACATATAACTTCTTCACATCAATTTTTAACATTTCAGCGTCATATCAAATTTCCACCATCAATATCTAACTTTTCACTATCATTACTATTCAACATTTCCTCTAATCTTATCTAACTTTCCACCATCGTCATCAAATGTTCACCATCATTATCTATATACACCATCATAAAAATCTTCACCATCATTATCTATATACACCATAATTATCAAAAGATACCATTATTATTCACCATCCTTATAAAAATATTCACCACCGTTATCTAAATTTCCATTATTCGTATCTAACATTCCACCATCATTATTAAATTTTTCACCATCATTACCATCAACTTCCCCCATCATTATCAAACTTGTCACCATCCTTATAAAAATTCCACCATCATTATTTAACTTTCCACCATTCATATCTAACTTTTCACCATCATTATAAACATCTTCACATCATTCATCCAAACTTCCCACCACTTATCAACGTTTTCAACCATCTTATCTAATTTTCCGTCATTAATATCTAACTTTCACCACTATTATCAAACTTGTCACTATCATTATCTAATTTTCCATCACCAATATCTTACTTTTCACCATTATCAAAATGTTCACCATTACCCAACTTCCCACCATCATTATCAACATCTTCACCATCATTATAAAAAAATCACTATTCCTTATTTTAATCTTTTTTCCATTTATTATATCTAACATCCACCATCATATCAACATGTTCATCATCATTACCTAATTTTCCATCATTAATATCTTTTCACCATTATATCAAACGTTGTCACTCATCATCATCTAAATTTCATCATAATATCTAACTTCCCAACATCATTATCAACATCACATCTTATCAACTTGTCAACATCATTATTAACATTCACATAATTAAACTAATTTTCAATATCGTTATCAAACTCCCCATCATCATTAATCAAAAATTTTTCATCATAATTATCTAACTTCCCGCCATCATTATCAACATCTTCACCATCATTATCTACTTTTCTATCATTCATATCTCATTTTCCACTATCATTATCAAAATCTTCACCATAATTATCAACGTTTTCACCATATTATCTAATTTTCACCATCATTATAAAAAAATCACCATCCATTATCTAATTTTCATCCAATATCTAACATTCCACCATCATTATCAAAATTTTCACCATCATTATCCAACATTTTCATCATCACTATCAAATTTCATTCATCTTTATTTTAATTTTCCATCACCAATATCTAACATTCCACCATTATTATCAACATCTTCACCATCATCATCAAACTTCCCACCATCAATATCTAATTTTTCACCATTATTATCAAAATATTCACCATATTATCGAAATTCACATATTACTCACATTTCCACCATTATATGCAAACTTCCACCATCATCGTTCAACATTTCACCCTAAACTTACCCAACTTCCCACCATCATCATCAATATTCACATAATTACCCAAACCCTTCTCACTATCATCATCAAAATCTTCACCATAATTATCAACATCGTCACATCATCATAAAACTTTCCCACCATCATCATCAACATCTCCACCATAATTACCCAACTTCCCACCATCATCATCAAACTTCTTCCACCATAATTATCAACATTTCCACCATTCATATCCAAACTTCCCACCATCAATCATCAACTTTTCACCATCATTATCAACATTTCCACCATTCATATCCAACTTCCCACCATCATCATCAACATTTCCACCATAATTACCCAACTTCCCACCCTTTTCCGTTGCAGTACACCGCCATGAACTTCAACATCTACAGTGGCATGAGCAAGTTCGTGTTCCTCGTGTTCACCATCATGTTGCCCATTATGTTGCTGAACATGTTGATCGCTATGATGGCCAACACATACAGCACTGTCATCTCTATGTCGGAAAAGGAATGGGTCAAGGCGGTGAGTCTCTTTGTTGACATTGTTATCTTTATTATCTTTATCATGATTGTTATTGTTGGTATTATCGTCATTATTATTGTTGTTGATATTATCGTCATTATTATGTTGTTTGATTTATCGTCATTAATTGTTGTGTTGATATTCCTCATTATCTTATTGTTGTTGATATTATTCGTTAATTATTATTGTTGTGGTATTATCGCATTATTATTGTTGTTGATATTATCGTCATTATTATTGTTGTTGGTTATTATGTCATTATTATTGTTGTTGATATTATCCTCATTATCGTTTATTGTTGTTGATATTATCTTTCATTATCTTTATTATGTTGATATTATCCTCATTATTATCTGTTGTTGATTATTGTCGTTCATTATTATTTTCTGTATTATCGTTGCTATTTTTATTTTCTATTGATTATTATTATTATTGTTGTTGTTATTATCATTTTATTATCATTATTATTGTTATATTATTCATTTATATTATCATTTTATTATTATATTATTATTATTCATTTATATTTTATTATTATTATTATTATTATTATTAATTATTTTATTATTACATTATTATTATTATTATTATCATTGTTATTGCTATTTTGATATTATATTCATAAATAATATGTGTGTATGTGTGATATGGTGTTGTTTGTGTGTGGTGTGTTGTGTGTGTGTGTGTGTGTGTGTGTGTGTGTGTGTGTGTGTGTGTGTGTAAGTGTTATTCTGGTGTTTAACAATACGACATAGCAAGGGTAATGTAACTCACAACTGTCCGGATATTACATACTGGAATTTCAGAAAATTTCATTGAAATTCATGATATACACGTAGGATGAAAATGCCTTGTTGCCTTTTATTATGCAGATGTTGTGCAATGCAGTGATTTGTTGGGTATTTGTTCTGATTTTTTGTTATATTTATATAAAGCTCACACACACACGCATACATAAACACACACACACATACAACAACATACATCATAGTACATACCCTCGCCACACACACACACGCACACGCACAGAAACACACGTGTTCCTGTTGCTCACAGACACACACACACAAACACACACACCACACGCAAACACCACACAACACATACCACGCACACACACATACCCACACACACATTCCCCCCCACACACACACACAAACGCTCGCACACACACATACCCACACACACACCAAACACCACACAACACACACACACACCCACACACACACACCCAACGCTCGCACGCTCACATCTAGCAACAAAAGGCAAACAGACAGATAAGCAATAACAACATATAAAAAACAGAAGCAAATATTTGATTAAAAAAAAAGTAAAAATGTAAAAAATTGGTAATTTGCCAAAAAGCGCTTTTCCAGTGCAACATTGTGCAACGCCGTATCAAAGGAGGATTAAAATGTTTATGTATCACGAAAAAAAAAAAAAATGAAATTAAGAATTGAAAAAAAAAGTTTTAAAATCCTATCAAAGCTCTATTAAAATTATTTTTTCCACCTTAATCGTCATGACTATTGATATTTCAAAAAAGAAAAAAAAAAGAAAAAAATTCGCATAAGCACATTGATGCATTTTGAATGAGGACACACAGACAAACACACACACACACGCACCATACACACAGCAGACACAACACACACACACACCAACACACAACACAACACAACCACACACACACACACACACACACACACACACACCACACACACACCATCATCATTAAAAAAAAAAAAACGTCCAACATTGCAATGCAAAAATACACACACACACAAAGACACACACCACACAGAGACACACACACCACACATACACACATACACACACAACACATTACCCACACACACCACGATACCCCACACACACACACACACACACACACATACCCCCCCCCCCCCGAACACCACACATTTAAAAAAAAATCCAACATTGCAATGCAAAAATACACATCCCTCTCGTGCAGCTAATACAATCAAACAACACATTCAAGACGCAACTTATCTCCCATTCACCGATCCCGAAGCAGCCACATGAACATGCTAGACGGAGGAGTATACAAAACATGGTCTGGCTATGTGTAACTGTGGTAGCGCTTGAGCTTCTCGATACCCACATGTTTTTATTCACCTTTGTCTCGACGTGGGGATGCCGGTGACGCTGCGGTTATGAGAATATTGGGGTGAAGTGATATGATGAAGTTGCTTGTCTTTTCGCGTGAGATTGTGAAGGTTTTTGTCTCGGAAGTTGTTTGGATTGATGAGATAGGAAGAGGAGGAGGAGGAGATTGAGACAGAGAGAGGGAGGGAAAGAGGAGAGCAGAGATTGAGAATAGAGAGGGAGGAGGCTAGACTAGAGAGAGAGTGAGGAGGGAGGGAGAGAGAGAGAGAAGAAAAGAAGAGAGAAAGAGAGCGAGGGAGGGAAGACACGAATTGAGAGAGGAGGAAAGAGAGAGAGAATCTTAGAGAGGGAGGGGTAGGAGAGGAGGAGTGACGAGGAGGAGAGAGAGGAGGTTTGGATAGGAGGGAGGGACGGTAGAGAGACGGCAGAGTTTGAGAAGAAAAGAGAAGAGAGAGAAATTGAGATAAGGAAGGAGGGAGGTAGAGAGAGAGAGAGTGAGAGGGAGACGAGAGAGAGAGGCGGGCGAAACCCAGACAGACCAGAGAGCCTCTTTCTCCCTCCCCTACCTTCACAGCTTTTTCCCTCACTCGCCTCTCCCCACTCCCCTCCCTCCCTTCACGGCTCTTCTCCCTCACTCCCTCTCTCCCTTCAAGGCTCTTCTCCCCCTCGTGCTCTCTCCCTTTCAAGCTCCTTCTCCAATATTTCACTCCCTTCCTTACACTTCTTAATACCCCACCCTCCTTCCTCAAAGCTCTTCCCCCCCTTGCTCCCTAACCTTCCTATATTCAATCTTCCCCATTTTTCTTTTGATCAGGGCCTGTAGCATGTATTACAGCTGGAAATTAATCATTTGTTTGTGTGTCATTATTGGTCACTTCAACCCAACGCACGTGCTCTGTTGTGTGTTTATGTGTGTGTGTTAAAGTATGTAGGTGTGTGTGTTTGTGTTATTGTATGTGCGCTTGTTGTTAGTGTATATGTGTGTTGTGTGTTGTTGTTATTTGTTTTGTATCTGTGTACGCGTGTTTTCTTATTATGCGCTGTGTTGAGTGTTTGGTGTATTCTCTGTGCGTGTTTTGATTCTTTTTTTCTTTTAGGGGTATGTGAGAAAGCGTGTGCGCGTGCGTGCATGCATGCGTTTGCACGCGCATACGTATGTGTGTGTGTGAGTGTATGTGTGTATGTGCGCATGACTGTGTGCGTGTGCGTATGTATTGTAGTATGAGTGGTTGTTAATCAAAAAGATAAAAATAAAAATAAAGTTTCGTTATCACAGCTGTGGTAAATGGTCCGAAATGTTAAACCACATTCAACACATTACGACACTTCAAACTGGCCATCATTTCTGAAACTTGACCTGTGACCTTACTTTGTACCTGTCAAAGCCTTCAATGACCTTGTTCAGGCCAGCTGCAACAGTGGTACTGTCCTTGCAACGCCACCCGTGACTGATTCTTTGTCGGTCATTATACCAAATCTGTTTGTCAATCTATCGATCTATCTGACTAGACAGAAAGATGTACACACACAAATATATTTTTTCCTTCTTTTCCTTTATAATCCTGTTCACTGCAAAGAGTTTTAAACACGTTCGTTAAATGGTTCCAAACATAACTTTAAATTAATGCAATTAAGAATTTCACTGACGTATTTCTTCGAACACAATGTACGAAATGAAATTGTGTGAGAGATTGTACACATGGCATTGACAGTGACAGATCATGACAAAACGCAGTATAGATTATAGATTCTTTTGACTGATGAATGTCAAACGACAAAGCCACATTTACACTTACACACACACTCACACGTACATACACAGAGAGACTTGTGTGTGTGTGTGCAAATATTAATAGATAGAGAGAGAAGAGAAGAGAGAGAGCGGAGAGAGGAGAGAGAGATAGAGATAGAGGAGAGGAGAGAGAGAGAGGAGAGAGGAAGAATGAGAGGAGGGAGAGGAGGGAGGGCGAGAGAGAGGGGGGAGGGAGAAAGAGAGAGGGAGGAAGAGCCAGAGGGCGGGATGGGGAATAGAGATGAGATAAGTAGAGAGAGAGAGAGAGAGGGTAGGAGACGATGGAGGGATGTAGATGTATGGGAAGATGGTGACGTGGGTATTGGTGGTTGGTTAGAGAGATGATGATGTGGGGACGTGGTTTGTGATGGTAGAGATGAGAGAGAGAGGGTAGGGGAAGGGGAGGGGTGAGGGATGGGTGTGTGTTGTGTAGGGAGGAGAGAGGGGGTTGGTTGTGGGACGGGAGAAGGAGTAGAGGGATTAGATGAGGGTGGTTGAAAGAAGAAGAGGAGAGAGAGGAGAGAGAGAGTAGAGAGAGACGAGAGAAGATGAAGATGGAAGATCAGCGGCAGAAGCAAGAATTTGGGCAGGTAGTGAACGACCGATGTAAGAGATAGTTTATGGAGTTATTGTATGTGGAGAGGATGGGGATGAGAGAGGGAGATTTTAGAGAAGTATTGGGTCGGCAGGGTTAATAATTGCGGGATGTGTAGGTGGATTGAGGAATGAGTGAAGACTGATGAGAGAGAAGAGAAGAGAGAGGTATT